TGGGAGGCCGGCCGCCGCGGTTTCCAGCGCTTTGCAAGCCTGCGGAAGCCCTCGCAGGACGACAGCGGCTGCTTTCGCCGCGGCGTTGGTTTTGTCCGGGGGCTGACCCGGCGTTGGCTGCGGGCACAGCCCTCGGAGCTGCGTGCTGGGGTCGGAGGGCCAGTCTCTGGTTCCTTGCTCAAGGTGTTTCCCACTGGAAACGCAAAGCTACTGCTTTAGGTACCTGAAAATTGTTGGCTAATTCTTGCACAGAATGTAATGCTTAGCTATAAAAGCGGAGCACTGGAGCTGCACCTTCAGTCTGCAATTAAACATTTCAACAAACAAGCAGTAATTTCCAGGGGTATGTAATTCTGCACTCAAACCACTTTAGTGCTTTTGCAAATTACTTGAAAGACGGTGCATACAGAAGAGGGTTGAAAAAAGAATCATTATTAAGGCTACGAAGCTTGGATCACACTGTTTACCACACAAGCCGTGTCTTGGTTTTTTTGCCCTGCGTTTTCTGTGTTTCATTGGTGAAAACCTCAGGCAGTCTGAGGAAGACAAAGCCACAATCATGCTCACAGCTCCAAGTCCATCCAGTTGGATCGAGTTTCAGCCAGTGGGCTGAGGCAAGTGGCCATTCCCCCTGGTTGATGCAGATGAGCCCACACCTGCAACACTGGATCCTGTTTGGGTAACCCAGTACAAGGAAGACATTGTTATACAGGAGCCCAGCTGAGGCCATAGAGAAGGGAGCTTGAGCATAGGACAGGCTGAGGGAATCAGGTTTGTTCACCTGGAGAAGAGAAGGAGAGCGTGGAGTCCAACTTGCAGTCCTAAAGAGGGTTACAGAGAAGATGGAGTTGGGATCTTCTCCGAAGTGCATCGTGATGGGGCAAGAGGCAAGGAGCAAAAGCTGTGATGAGGAAAAGTCTGGCTGGACGTAAGGAAAAACCTTCTTCCCGTGAGAGTGGGGCAGCCCTGGGTGGGGACCAGAGAAGGTGGGATCTCCAATCTTGGAGATGGTCAACACTTTGTTGGAAAAAGCTCTAAGCAGTCTGGTCAGTTAGCCACGCTTTGAGCAGGGATTGGATTCAAGATCTCCAGAGATCTCTTCCCACTTAACTTTTTCTACGGTTATATGATTTCCTGGTTAAACAGGAGAGCCAGGCCAGCTGGTGGAGCACTGCTGAGCCCAGCTGGGCACACAGCTGCAGTCCGTGGCAGCCCTGGCAGTATTAGAGAGGTATTTATTTAAATGGTGAACACAGAACAGGAAGGATCGGAGCTAACACGCTTTGAGCAGGAAATGGTGGCCAAAGAGGGAGTGGGTATTTGCTGTCACCAGGATTTACTGCTTAAAGTCAATATTGGTAAATCGACAAGAAAGTTTGTTTACCTTTTCAAGACCAGGCTCTTGCGGGATGCAATGGCTTTTCATTGACCTCTGGTGGCCTCTGGCTCTATGTTGCTGGCCCACTTCTTTCTGCTCAGGCTTAGCTATGACTTCACTTCTGCTAAGGACCAGAAAACCCTCCCAGCTCAAAACATCACCCATGAGCAACACAAATCACCCCTGACTTTCTGCAAATGTGAGGCACCCAGTTTCACAAGAGCAATTCGAGAAGCGGGAAGCCAGGGTGCACAAACCAAAAAACCTCTCTTCTCCCATAGAGCTGGAAGCATGTTTCCTGGAAGGATATTGAAAGGTATATTGAAGGATATTGGCAGTGGACAGAGGAGAGTCTGTTTCTCCTGGATATGATGTCAGCTTCCCTTTCCTTAGCTGTCCTGTCATGGCTGTCAGCCCTCAGGATGGCTCCCCATGCTCTGCAGGACATGGGGACAGGACCCGTGGCCCTGAGATGAGCTCACAGCAGCGTGGTCAGCCCAGCCCAGTTGACATTAACAAACACCAAGCTGAATCTCACGAGTGAGGAGACAGTCATAGTGGTTGTACCCACTGCATATCACAGCATGCCTGCCTTGGTCTGCATGGCTCAGGTAGCAGGTCAGAGTGTCCTGGAAGAGCCTCACGTAGCCCTTTCACCAGTACAGCACAGCAAGAGGGAGAGCATTGTGTTGGGCACTGACCCAGCTCCCTGTGCTGGCCCCATATCTCAGAAGCCATCTCCCTGCATCCATTACCTGCTCTTCATCACCAAGAAGGCTACAGTCAGTTAAAGGTATCTGACGTCCCCCAGCCTTCCCTTTCATGTCAGACCCAGACCCTACTTGTCATCCCAGGGGGTGAAAATTTCCTTTATTGGACACCCTGTTAATGCCTCTGGGTAAAGATATCTCTCTGAGGCTCAGGAAAGAGGGAAGGGAGGGAGAAGGTGATGTATTGCATCTGCAGAACAGCAGTCTCCCTCCCCTAGATACAGCTGCCCTTGCCAGCCCGTCCCCAGTTCCATTCAGACAGCAGGACCTACCTCAGGGATGCACATGGACCCCCATGTGTCCAGCTTTGCACCTGAACCCCATCCGTATAAGCAAGAGCTCTGTTATCTGTTCTCTTGGCAGAGAAAGAAACAGTGGGTTTCAAGTGAAAGTGCTGATAAGGAGGTCTTTATCTGTCCCTTGGTTATTCTGCGATAAGATTTGTTGCTTGCAGGCACACCTTTCTTACCGGCTGCGAAAGAAGCCAGTTAGAGTGAGAGCAGCTCTAAGACAGAGCACGCAGTACCCAGGGTGACTCCAGGACTTTGTGGCCACCAAAGGCATCTCCGCAGAGATGGACAGAGGTGCTCTCTCTGGTTCCTGTGAGCCTCTGCCCACGGGGAGCTCCCCAGCCCTCACAGCACAGGATCAGCACCACTGCCCATGTGTGTTTCAGCAATGAGCATTGCCCCGTGTTCATGGAGATGCCACCCTGCCAGGCCTTCACCACCTCCTACAGCTCCACTTCAACACTGGAGAAGGGCGGACGTGGTTGTTTTGTGCCCTCCTTGACTGACGGGGGCTGCGAGATGAGTCTAAAGCCTCCCAGAAGTTGCTTCTCCCCAAAACCTAAAAAGCTCTGGGAACCAGGCGAGCCTAAATGTCTGCAGACATGGAGGTGGGCAGCACGGCTGATTCCCCTTCCCTGTGAGCACTGCAGAGGGTTGGAGAGCTGGAAAGAGCCACCAGCTCTTGCTGGCCTCCACCATGGCACATGTGGGGCTCCGCTAGGAAGAAGGGTCTCCTGGCCTGCCTGGCAGCAGCAGCCCCTACAGCCCAGCCTCCTTGCAACGTGGTGTGGACACCACACTTGCAGGAGGACCCCAGCACAGCTTTTGTGATGGTACTCAACCATAACATGGCCTCCTGCCTCTGGCTCCCCTTCAGGCCAGTGCAGCCTCAGCTGCCATCACCCAGTGTCTTGGTCTGGGGTCAGCATCCTCCCTGGTTACAGGGCTTCCACGAGGCCCTCGGCTTATGCCTTAAGTATTAGCAGTTATGAACAAGGTTTGGGTAGTTCATGGCAGAAGGTGAGAGATCTTGCTCTGCTCCCACCAGTATCAGTCACTCAAGGGGAGAGCGCAACCTTGCATTAGCTGAGACATCTGTGAAGACCAAAACAGTGCCAGGACACCTGTGTAGGCAGACCTGTCCCTCCAGGAGCTGCCCATGGGGAATGGGCTGCAGTTGCTTGGTTATGGGGCTGCTGGATGCCTTCTGCTTTGACACCCACCAGGTGCATTAGAGCTTCTGGCAGTGTAACTGCAGAGGTCATCCCAGGATTTCGGGGTGGGGAGGCTGAGCTAAGCGCTTGTGAGCACTTGCCCCTCATGTGATGTCCCTGGGACCAAAGCAGGGGTGGATGTCAGTGATGTCCATCCTGTCACTGGAGAGATGGTGTTACTGGTGTCACCAGTGAGATGTCACATCTGCTGAGACGCAGGGCCTGCAGGGCTCTGGGACAGCGGCAGCGACATCTCCGGAGACACAAAAAGTCCATAAATCCCCCAAATCAAGGGTGACCTCAGGGCCTGGCAAGCCCTGTGCTCTGGGAGGCAGGCCCTTGGTAAGTCAGATAATGGCAATGGAGACCTCCACTCCAAGAGGAGAAAGACCCTCTGTGTCAGGATATTACAGGAACGTAAGACAGCCACCACCCCTGCCACGCACGGGAGAGAAGATCACAAGACCCAAAATGTGGGAAGAGAGAGAGGGCGCCCATTCCTTCCTGGCTTCAGAAGAAGTCCTGGGTGCGTGGCTGGGGAGCCAGGGATGCAGCAGCTATGCAGAGTGGCTCCTGTCTTTGCCTCAAATGGCATTTCCCTGACAAAAGTGTATGGTTCAGCCAAGTTTCAGCCTGTCGCACTCAGCTGTTTTCAACCATCTTTTGTTTGCCTAACACGGCGGCTCAGCAAGGTCGGAGTGAGGTTGCCCAGAAATTGAAAACAGAATGCTTTCCAGGCTTTAGGGAAGCAAGCTGTTTACCGGGGAGGAAAACAGACCGTGAGAAAAACCTTCAGACTGAAGATAGTAACACAAGGGGCTGTAGGGTTTATCAGGTGCAGGAAGAAGCCCCAGCCAGGCAGCTCCAACCAGCTAAAAATCACGGTGGGTTTCAGCTTCGCATTGCCACTTGCATTTCGACAAATCAGAAATGCCTTTCAGAAACATGGATGGATGCTGGTCTGTACGCTTAAACTGCGAAATGGTGGGGCACTGTGCAGCCCTCCGTGGAACCACCACTCAGGTGAAACAGCCCTCCAGCAGAGAGGGCAGCAGGGCTCATGAGCCGCAGGCAGCAGACAACTCCCAAAGGACTGCCTTTGCTCAAGCAACCGTGTTCCCCCTCACTGTAACCTGAAAGAAGCATAGAAAGAGGAGTGACCAGGAGAGTGTGGGCTTTATTACTGACAAGGAAGGAGCTGGTCAAAATCACTCTGCAGTACTTATCAGAGTTTGTCAGGCAGGAGTCAAAACATTAAAAAAAAAAACCAAACAAAATTAAAATAGAACGTGTGTGCTGTATTCATTATCCTGGTGGTCATTTTCCAGAGGAGTATTCAAAGCTTCTGGTAGTTCTGCTTCTGCTGGTTTCAGCACCTCCTCTTCACCTACAAGGCATGTAAAAGACAGATCATTTCATATTGGGAGGCTTTCGTGCGTTACCCCTCCATGCTGTGCTAAAGCCCCCACGGCCAGGCTCCTGTGATTGCCTGTGATGTTAGGTAGCTCCTGGTAGTCTGCCTGCTTTTCAAAGGACACAGCAGTCCCAGGGGTTGTGGAGGGGAGTCGGAGAGGGTAAAGCCCCAATAGGTTTAAAGGCAGGAGGCAAATAAATGCAGCCCTGATGCTTGCCCATTTCAAGATCTCAGAGCTGGACCACTGTGATGTGCCCCAGTCAGCCCCAGTCCCCAAGATGCAGAATGGTTGTTTTCCATGGCACGAGGGCGTTGCATGCCTTGCAGCGAGAGGCCTCTTCTTCTCCCCTGGCACAGACACTGCTGGAAATGCAGTAATCAGGGGTCAGAGGATGCTCACCTCCTCTGAAGCAGATCCTATGTTTTCCTGGTTTTGAAGCAATCTGCATGCTTGGCCCACTGACCGCTAAAGTAAATGTGCTCTCCTCTTCCCAAGCCAGATCTGGGAGCAACTCCTGCTGGCCCAAGCTGCGTTAGCTGTAAATGGATTTCCCGAGCCCAGACGGCAATCTGCTGTTCAGAGCAGCTTAGTGCCCTCTGTACCTCAGTCCTGGCAGGTCCCAAAGGGGTAGTCCCCTGCAGACACCCACCCCTTGCCCTAGTGCCCACCTTTCCCTCCCCACCACCCCAGTGTCAGCCCCAAAACTGGGTGGACTGTGGTCTGTGCCTGGGCTTTGGCTCTCCCTGACCAGCTCTGGTCTCAAGAGACCGCATCTGCTCTCCACAGTACCTCTGCCCTAACCTGGCTCATGGCAGAGCCACATGGGTGTCCTTAGGACAAGGAGCTATTTAGGACCAGAGACCACAGACCCCATGCCAATGACTCTACTGACAGTAGTGGGCTTCTTATCACTCCCCATGACTTGGAGAGCAGTATCTACCCCCACAGCCCCAACATTCCCCCCCACCCCTTTCACAGCTACCCAAGTCACTCTTAGTGGGGTAGGGACCTGTGCCGTAGTGGTGCCGCAGGCTGGTAGTTGATAAGGTGGGCAACCTTGGCTGACAGTCCTCAAGAGGTGGCACTGCACTGCTCCCCAAGCCCCCATGAGGCCACTGGCTCTCCGGCAGCTCACCTGCAGGATCCTGGCTCCTGGCTGCCAGCTCCCCCTCCGCCACTCCCGGTTGCATCCCACTGACCAGGTCCTGCATGGTCAGCACGGGCGGCTGTTCTTGATGCAGTGGCTCAGGCAGTGCCAGCTTGGAGGGCGCTGGCTCAGCCTCCTCCTGTGGGTCAAGCTGAGGGTCCGGCTCTGGTTCTGGCTCCGGGCTGGGCTCCACTGCCAGCTGGTGGCCCCGTCCTCGCCTGGCTCCTCTGCCTCTCCTTTGCCGTTTGTTCTTCTCCTGCTCCCTGCCAGGGGATTTCACAGGGGTGAAGAGTTGGGCATGGGGCGGAGGACTTTCCCTCCTGCCCCGAGGCCGCTTTGCCAGGCCCCTGGCTGTGACTGCGACCCAGTCATCCCAGCAGAAGCTGCACTTCTGCAGCCCTCCTGCCCAGCTCCGCACGGCGGCCTCCTGTAGCCGCACCGGGGGGGGCGGGAGGGTGCACACGAGCACGGGCGGCTGTTCTTGATGCAGTGGCTCAGGCAGTGCCAGCTTGGAGGGCGCTGGCTCAGCCTCCTCCTGTGGGTCAAGCTGAGGGTCCGGCTCTGGTTCTGGCTCCGGGCTGGGCTCCACTGCCAGCTGGTGGCCCCGTCCTCGCCTGGCTCCTCTGCCTCTCCTTTGCCGTTTGTTCTTCTCCTGCTCCCTGCCAGGGGATTTCACAGGGGTGAAGAGTTGGGCATGGGGCGGAGGACTTTCCCTCCTGCCCCGAGGCCGCTTTGCCAGGCCCCTGGCTGTGACTGCGACCCAGTCATCCCAGCAGAAGCTGCACTTCTGCAGCCCTCCTGCCCAGCTCCGCACGGCGGCCTCCTGTAGCCGCACCGGGGGGGGCGGGAGCTTGGGCACCAGATTTTTCCCCGGCCCCACACTGTGGGGAATTGCTTGCCACCCAACCCACCACCTATGTAACCCACCCCCCGTCCATCTCTGCCCCCCAACACCTGCCTAGACCTTCAGCACCTACCAGCTGCAGGTCACCTGTCCCCACTGAAGACTGATGGGGCCCAGCTTGGCTCTGTCCCTGTGTGAAGATGGAGGGGCTGGGCTGCCATGCCTGGGCTCAGGTTAAATGCTCCAAGAAAACGACTCCACAGCATAAGCAAGATTTACCTCAGGACCCACTGAATTGAGTCTTTCTCCTGGGCTTCTGCTTTTCTTTTCCGGAGCAGCTCCCGGTCCCTCAAGCGGTGGGTGATGATGACATCTACAATGACAAATTGAGTGCTAACATGACAACCTGGCCAAGGAACAATTCGATCCTTCCCTGCCTGGTGACAGAGCACTGATGCAAGAGGCCATGTTCTTTTTGTCATGAAGTGGGTCTTGATAGGAAACTGCTTGGGCACTGTACTTCCAGCTCAGCCTCAGTGGGTAGGATCCGATGATATACCACCCAAAGCTCCCAGGCTCCTGCACTGAAAGTTACTCTAAATTTCTAGCTGCAGTTTTCTTCCTGCTGCTGCAGCCTTGGGGTGACCCTTGTCCAACCTACTCACCACCGTAGAGACCTGGGGCCTGACGGAAGCATGGGGCAGGCTTCCCGTGCCATGAGGACACCAGGAAATCCCTTGGTCAGACATCACTACAGGCTGCAAGATAATTTTTTGTGTTTGCTCTGTTGTTACCCTTTTCCCCAGATAGCTGCAACTGGCCACTGCTGCCATTAAGATGCTCATCTAATTAACTAACTAAGGAGAAAGCCTTGCCTTGCAGGTAGCCAGCCCTACAACATAGGAACAGGTCTGTGGGGGTGAGGGGGTTAGCCAGAGGACACAGGCTTTCCCGTACACAGATGCTCATGTGTATTAGGCTGAGACCCTGTAGGGGATGGTGACCCAACCAGAGGCCAGAACAGGGCTAGTACACACTGCTGGGGCTGAGGAGACTGGTCCCAAAGACCACACAAGCAGCCCCAAGCTGGTCTGCAGCTATGAAGATGACCATGGCAGGGCTGAAGATTGACTCATGCGAGAAAGCTCCGATGCTGACTTTAGCATTTGGGCAAGATATGCAGGTTACCTACAGCTACCAGGAGAAAGGGGCACCCCCCGGGTCCCAGTCACCCTGTGCAATGCCTTCTTAGGCCAAGGTAAGTTGTGCCCATTTCACTGGCTGCAAAGGGCTCCAAATGGCTTCCTGAGGCAAAGACATGTCAGCCATCTACACCTGGGCGAATGAATTCCTGAACTTTTCTGAAGCCAGCACTGAACTTCCTCCCCCATGTCTTTGTCCTAACAAACAACATCCCTGATGATGTGGCAGTAGGTCTTGTGGTTTCTGATCCAGTCAGCACTGAATTTTATAGCTTGGACTCCAGCCTGTGATAAAAAAGATGTGGCTTAGACCAAGTAGCACGAGACTGCTCCCTTAAGATGAAGGGCATTGTTCAGGAGCAACACCAGTTCCCTGGGGCCTGGAGGGAGAGGGGACTCTTCCCACGCGTACACTGAAGAGGTCACAAAAGCGCTGATTTTCATAGTTTCAACAAAACCCACACAATGAAAAAGCAAAACTATGACTGTCTCCTTCCAGATGTAATCAGATCCAGCTTCTTCCACAAAAGCCTCAGCTTACACTAAAGTATTAGGTCAAATCGGTGAAGAATGGTCATTTTGTCATTCCCTTGTCCAGCTGGGAGAACTGGCAAGGTGAAAAGGACTTCCGAGGCTGAGCTGGGACTACAGCTCTTGTATCCCAGATGTCTGTTAAACACAACAAAAACCATAATCCAGGACAGAAAAAAATCAAAACTGACAGCAGGAGCCAACCTCTATCCAAAGTAGATCTTTACACAAGACACTTCTGATAATTAATAATAATCTCGCAGAAATTTAGCTTGGAAAGGCTTTCTGTGGGTCTCTGTTCCAATGTCCTCATCAAAGCAGGGCCAACTTTAAAATTACATCAGGCTGTCCAGGACCTTGTCCAGGGAATTTCAGAATACCTCAAAGCCCACCTCTCTGGTCTCCGCACCATTCTCACTGTTAATTTTTTTCCTTTCTAACCAGCCATGTTTGCAACCTGGACCTGGTGCCTCTTGTCCTTTCCCTGTGCACCCCTAAAAAGAGTCTGTCTCTCCCTTCTCTGTAACCCTGTTAGGCAGAGGATGACTGCAATGAGATCTCCCTCTCAGCCTTCTTTTCTCCTGGCTGAACAAGCCTGGTTTCCTCTGCTTGTCCTCATATGTCATCTGCTCCAGCCTTTAGCAGTCTTGATGGCCCTGCACTGGACTCATCGCAGTATGCCTTTGACTTCCCTGTTCTGAGTTGCCCAAACCTGGGCATAGAATTCCAAGTGCTGTCTAATAATAACAGCAGCCACCATCACAACCACGAAATAAAAAATAATCCTACTTTCTGTTGTTGCCTATTAGTTTTTCTGTTCTTTTATTGCCCTTTTTTGTACGGTACTTCCAGGAGCCCCCTTTGCTCTGAGCACAGTAGAGCCATACAGGAGAAGATGGCTCCTCTCCTAAAAAAATTCCAGCCTAACCAGACCAAAGAGAAGGGGCACAGCAGGATGCAATACAGATGTGAAGGCCCCATGCAACAACAGTGCCAGAGTTTCTCAGTCATGGCAGGGGCATCTCAGCGTGACCAGAGATGGTGTCAGCCTCTGACATGAAAAACACCGCACTTGGACTGCACAATGTACAGCTGAGTAGACGTTCCTCAAACGGGAGGCTGTTCCCCGATGTAAAGCAGTATCAGAGGCAGCAGGGCACAGCCAGCAGGAGATGACTCTGCCATCCACATAGCAAAACGCAGGAAGCTGCCTGGGAAGATGAGGTTACAAGTTGCAGTAGCAGGATCTGCACAGGGCTTCAGTTTAACTGCTGAAGTACATAATCCTTTGTACATCCCTTTGCGGCCAAGGTAACTTTCTTGCCCTTTCAAAATGTCTTGTGAGCCATAAAAGCATTTTTAGCTGCCTGCAATCAGTCTCCTTCCCAACCCACCCTAAGCAAATTGTTTTGCACAGGTAGCAAACGCCACTCATTCACTTCTAACTGGTCCCAGAGAGCACTCCCACAGCAGCTCCAAAGCTGTCTGTCACCTGCTAGCACTAGGCAGGAAAGATCACAGTAAACATCTGCATCCTGATGAAAAATTATTTAGCAGAGGACACAAAGATACAGAGATGAAATGAAAAGAAAAAAAATCCATCAAGCTAAAAGAACAATGAGACAGTATTGCCAGTCTGCAAACAGACAATATATTGATGCTGCCTGAGGGACTTCGTCTGAGTTGAAAAGCCTTTATAGGTGCTTCTGCCTTTGTGATCTGAAACACAACATGGAAAAAGCCACATATATTTGCAGTTAAATGTGCATCCTCCATCCCCCAAGCATAAACTGGTAATTATTAACTCCTTTTTTAGAAACCATTGGTGACAAAGATCATTCTCTCCTCTCACTGAAAACGCAAGTTAGGAGTGGTCTTGTCATTACCTGGCACAGCATACTCCTCACGGGCTGCAGAGGGTGGCAGGGAAGAGTCCGAATAAGCATGGTCTTTGCCTAAACTCTCCATTGCTCTTTGCAGTTTTAAATAGAAAGCAGCTTAATTCCCTGGGAACAGCATCTGGAGATACTGGTGCAGCATAATGAGAGCTTGAAAAAAATGCAGACTGCCCGCCCAAAACCTCTTATCTGGCCAGGCCACTAGTATGGTAATAATATTCTCCTTATCAGAGTGCAAAGGTGCACGAGTCTCTGCCCAGGATCTACCGTGTGGATTGCAAAACATGTTAGTGCTTTTATACAGCAAGTATTTCTACTTCAGATAGGAAATTTACACTTGCTGCTGCTACACTGTGACTCAAATACCCTCCTTTATAGGAGAGAGAAGCTGTATGGCCAGGCAGGATGCAGCACTGCCTCGCTGCTCGTTTCCAGAGTGAGATGCAGGGAGGTGTTGTTAGTCCTTGAGGACCCCTTGTGAGGTCTGAAACAGGACATACACTGTTTGAAAGGTGTTTTCATAGGACCCTAGCAGCGCTGGTGGGAAGGGACCTCCGTCCCCCCTCTGGTCCCCCTCACAGCAGGACTGTCTGCTGCACGAGGTCAGGGCAGCTGTGGCATCATATTCTTTGGAAACGCCCAAGCCAAATTCATGACACCTGTCCAAGGGCTGCACCACCTTCCTTGGAAATCCAGACGGAATAATGAATCCATACCAGGACTCCAGCCAAGGGCCTGTGCATGTTGAGGACTTCCCAATGCATCGTTGGTCCAGTACCCAGTGGATCAAGGCTATGAGCAAAGCACTTCCCTCATGAAGCAGGATGGCAATGGGCAGCCCCAGTAAAACCAATGGGAAGACCCACCTAGTTCCTTGCTCCCGCAGGGGGATACCCCTTAGTGGTTGCCCCTAGCTCCCTGTTGCCCATTGCACAGCATGCAGGCTCACACAGCCTCTGTAGGACCATCTTCGGGGCCAGTATAGCTGCAAAGGGGAAGCTTCTGCTTGGTACAAGGGCTTCGACCCCGAGATCCTGCTCCCTGCTCTGCGGTCTGCATGGCCAGGCCTTGAGGTCGGTCTGCCTCAGTTTCCTGCATGTGAGATGAGGTGGGAATCCTGGCCTCCTCTGCAAACTGCCTTCAGAGTTTCTCATGCCCGGATAGCGCAGAAAAGCTTAAGATTATACCTGTGCATAACAATTCTGCTGGACCAGGGACATGTCACCACTTTGGCCAGTTTCTAACACATTCAGTCCAGAGTATTTGGGATTCAGCTTCTACCACCACTTCTCTCCATGAGATACTCAGCTGCTTATGCTCTGGTGAAGTGCTAGTGCCCGTAACCCCCCCCACACTCCAAATGAATTCAAAGTGGCTCCAAGGTTGTTAGAAGTCCTCTGAGAATTGCTCGCCCTTCGTGGCATGGATGATACCACCTCCTTGTGTAGTCCCAAGACTTGCCCTGGAGCAGAGCAGCTCCTCGGGGTGAGCAGATCTGGCCTGCGTCCAGCCCTTGCCAGGCTTTTTTTTTTTTTTAATGTACAGCCTTTGCTCTCTGCAGGTTCTCTTTCTAGGTCTCTAGAAACTTCAGAGTTTGAAATTTCATGAGTGTGGGTTTCTTAAGACGTAATCTGGGGGTCCGTGGTCATTTCTGCTGCCTTTCTGCTTATCCCTTGAGTTACCACTTCGCTCTAGGGCTCCTCCCGTGTGTCCACTGCAGATTATATGGTACCTCCAGATAGGTGGGGCAGGTTTAACAGCCCCAAAAGAAGCAGCAGGGTGGTGGCAGCAGAACAGATATGGGAAGGCTCTGATATGGGAGGGTGGGCCAGGAACATGGATGGCATAAAGAGATGTGAGGCTTCCAAGTCTTTCACAGGGGAGTTTCTTGTAGCTCAGTCACAAGTGAAGACAAGGTCTCCCATGCTGGTGAGGGTGTCCATGTTCCAGCACTGTGTGATGCTGCACGGCCCTGGGGTGACCCTGCCTCATGCAGACATCCTGAAAACTGTACCTTGCAGGATGCTCTACCATGCAAAGACAGCGGTTGGGGAGGACGAAAACATATCACACCTCGAATACTGTGTTCAGTTTTGGGCCCCTCACTACAACAAAGATATTGAGGTGCTGGAGCGTGTCCAAAGAAGAGCAACGAAGCTGGTGAAGGGTCCAGAGCACAAGTCTTATGAGGAGCGGCTGAGGGAACTGGGGTTGTTTAGCCTGGAGGAAAGGAGGCTCAGGGGAGACCTTATACGCTCTACAACTACCTGAAAGGAGGTTGTAGCGAGGTGGGTGTCGGTCTCTTCTCCCAAGTAACAAGCGATAGGACAAGAGGAAATGGCCTCAAGTTGTGCCAGATTGGATATTAGGATATTAGGAAAAATGTCTTCACCGAAAGGGTTGTCAAGCATTGGAACAGGCTGCCCAGGGCAGTGGTTGAGTCACCATCCCTGGAGGTATTTAAAAGCCATGTAGACGCGGCGCTTATGGATATGGTTTAGTGGTGGACTTGGCAGTGTCAGGTTAACGGTTGGACTCGATGATCTTAAGGGTCTTCTCCAACCTAAATGATTCTATTCTATGATTCTATATGTCTGGCCATAGAGGGACATCACATCTGGAAGCGCTCTTACAAAGCGCTTGACATATTCTGGGCTGCTTGCAGGTGATATGAAACAAGGAAGAAAGGGTGGAAATCCCTGGGTTTTTCAGTGCTCCATGGGAACTGGGTGCATGCTCAGGCGGTCGCTAACTCAGCTTCTCACACCCCACATCTACTCAGTCACTCCAAAGCCTGGTGAGGTCTGATAAACCACTCTTGACTCAGCAAAACATTGCCATGTGACACTGCAGAGCTGGTACTGTGAACATTTCTCCATTCCAGCCATCTTCTAGCTGGGTAGAAACCAATAAATCTGTAAAGAACATTTGTAAAAGGAAGAGTTGCTGTGCCCTCAGAGTCTTTAGGGGTGCTTAATGGACTAGATGGGCTTTAAAATCTTACAGACCCTGTGCTTGCATCTCTCGGGACAGACATCCCTGTAAAGATTTGGCTCTTGTGTGTGAATTACTTTAAATCCCAAGGAGGTGATTTTATTATTCCATGGGAAGGCTTTGGTGATGGATAACAGTGTGGAAATTACAGACTCCACTGCCTAGCTTCGAGTTGTCTCTGCTCTGAAGTGGAGGCACTGAGAGGCAGAGGCTCGCCCACAATGCCAGAGACACTGGGCTCATTTTGGAGCCCAGTGCTGCCTCCCTGTCCCCCACCAGCACCAGCAACACAGCAGACTCTTCTTCTCCAGCAGAGCTCTGTAGCAGATGTGGCCAAAGCTGCATCCCCTTTGCTATGGATGAATTTGTGCAAGTAGGTTAAACTTTCTGGCCAGTCTCGGTTGCACAAACTGTTGCAGCTGGACACTTTACAGTGTGACAGGCGCTGCTTCCCTTCCCTTTCTCTCCACATTTTGGTTCAGCTAGCTCTGGGTCACCTTCTCTGATTGTGCTGGTTTTGGCTGGGGTCGAGTTAATTTTCTTAATTAATTAATCGATGTTAATTATGGGGCTGTGTTTTATATTTGTGCTGAAAACAGTGTTGGTAATACACGACGTTTTCATTATTGCTGAGCAGTGCTTACACAGAGTCAAGGCCTTTTCTGCTCCTCACACCACCCCACCAGTGAGAAGGCTGGAGGTGCACAAGAAGTTGGGAGGGGACACAGCCGGGATAGCTGACCCCAACTGACCAAAGGGATATTCCATACCATATGATGTCATGCTCAGCATATAAAGCGGGGGAAGAAGAAGGAAGGGGGGACATTTGGAGTGATGGCGTTTGTCTTCCCAAGTCACCGTTACGTGTGATGGAGCCCTGCTTTCCTGGAGATGGCTGAACACCTGCCTGCCCATGGGAAGGAGTGAAGGGATTCCTTGTTTTGCTTTGCTTGTGTGCGCGGCTTTTGCTTTACCTGTTAAACTGTCTTTATCTCAACCCACGAGTTTTCTCACTTTTACTCCTCTGATTCTCTCCCCCATCCCACTGCAGAGCGGAGTGAGCAAGTGGCTCTGTGGGGCTTAGTTGTCGACTGGGGTTAAACCACAACACTGATACATCCAGTTTCCTAGGTGAGGACTTGGAGGAGCTCAACCAGGTGTCCAGCAACCTGAGCAGCTCCAGTGTCACAGACTCCTCGAGTGTCACTGGAGCTGCTTGGTAGAGAAACATGCCCAACCTTGGGTACATCTCACCATGCCAGTCCCCCACACAGCTTTCACTACCCAAAAGCCCTGGGAATGCTTTGTCCAAGGGACAGATGGACCTAGGGCTAGATCCCGCTACCAGGCCTGTCTCCTGGCACTGTTGGGAATGCTGTCACTGCAGACTTAGCACCACCAGGCTTTGGATCTATGTATAAGTCAAAGCTCTTTATGACCCTCAGTGATATCTCTGTTTACCTATGTCTGGCATTGCTACTGCAAAGCAATATCCAGAGACCTGCTGTCTCTCTCCCCCTCCCTGCAGTCAGGGACGCAGCCCTGAACCCAAGGTTATCTGGGGGATCAACATGGGCAGCTGGGGGAGCTACACTGCTGTCGCTCTAGCAGGGTGTCAGGGCACTTCTTCCAGTTTTGTTTTGCATGACAACGACAGAGAAGTGATTTTCAGGCTTGAGGTAAAGTTTGGGGGCAACTTGCCTGGTTGCAACATATGCTTCTCTGGGCACAGGACTACCAGTAGCTCTGTGTGATGAACATGGTGCCTGTGAAAGCAGATAATCCCTTCCTCCCCCTGCCTTGACTGGGTGGATGGGATGGGAAACAGGTGGATAAATTCAACAGGCAAAACTGTATGCAAAAGTGCAAATCCATGTGCATAGCCCTGCCACAGACCAGTGCATTGTAGGCATCTTGCTGTCCACCAGCTGCCTCCTGAGTCTTGCCTGACCTTGCCAGACACAGATCTGCCAGACTTCACAGTCAGGTGCTCTGGACCAGGCTGGATCCAGCTGTCCTGCACCATCGTCCCTCGAGGGCTGTGGTGCTGTTAAATCACTCCCTTCGCCTCCCCTCAGTCTGCCACTTGCTCTTGAGCCGTGTGAAATAAACAGGCAAATCCACCAGTCCCCAGGGAGGATGGGTATCTCTGAATTCACTTCATGTAGAGTCAACACTGACCCTGTCCTGAGGCTGCCCACGCTT